GAAATTTACTCTTTGCTGTCAGATTTACCTGCATTCTAAGAAAACTTATTACAGTTTTAGTTGTTCAAGTAGTTATGATTCCCCACCTCCCGTTAAATTTATGAATGGTCCACAATTTTTGAATTGTTTTTTTAATACAGATTTTCGTTACTTGAATTTTGCTAGCTATTTCTTAAATTTTTTTTTAAATACAGAAAAGTATAGAGGGTAATAAAGTAATTTCTCATAATGACCCTACAATTCATCTCTCAGCTGTCAGACAGCTCATATTTGATGCATTTTTGAAAGGCTTCACATTTCTATTATAATTATGAATAATACCTCTAAGAATCTAAATACAGAAGTTTAGTGCTTATCTTTTAGAGGAAAATTTTTACTGGACAGCCTAGTTTATGTTTTTCATATGATATTGCTAAAAACACATAGGGACAAATATAAGTTATTAAGCCTTATTATACTTGTTAAAGGATTTTTTTTTGTTATGTACAGCCAATGCAGTACTTATTTTAACTGTGAATGCAGATATCTACCAAGCTTGTAGTGTATCACCGTGCAGCACATTCTAATGATTTTTAACAGGCTGTTGTGGGGGGGAAAGCAAGTATTTTCTTAATGTTTGACCTTTACCACCTTCTTAATTATATACTAGGAGAATATATAATGTACCCAGTAGCACATTGGCATGAATGCAGAAATAAAGGGATTAAATTTTAGAATACTTAAAATTTTTAGTTATTTTATTTTGCTTCCTCAACAGTCTTCAGTGTAGAATTAAAGTTGAGAAACGAATTTAAAAAGCAAAATGCAGTATTCATTTTGACTGCATTTTCACTTCGCTTTACACTCTAAACACAGCACACAGACATTCTGATGCACAATGAGAACAAAGGATTTGAAAGCATTAATTTAGAAATCTTTTTTTCTTTGCTGCAACCATAATTCTATATATTATTTCAGACTATTTAGATCAAAACAATCAGAATAACTCATCAACAGAAAATATTTAGAGGTGACTTTTAAAAATATCTAAAAGCTCAATTAAATTGTTCCACATTTTGCAACCAATTCTTTTGAAAAACAGGTCTGTATTTTATCTCTTCTAAATCTGTAAACTGAAAACATAACAGCATTCTATGAAAAAATTTATTTTATTACTTTTTCGAATCATTTTCTCCCTCATGGTAATTTTATATAGTTATCCTAGTAAATGGTAAGTAGTTATCTCAAAATAAGAGAAATTCTGCTTACATTTAAAAATGGTGGTTGAATGTTTTAGTTTATTGTTCTCTAGTATATCCATCTATATATTCCAAAACCAAATTGTAAGATCGACTACAAGTTGAGAAAGAACCGATGGTAATTTTTGTGGTTATTATTTTAGCTTCACTGGACTGAAAGTTTTATATCAATTGCAAAAAAGGAAAGCAATTTTAATTCCTTTTAGAAAATGCCCTTATGTTATAACTTGATCGATTCATTGAAATTTATCTTTGGGAGCTCTCCACAACCTTTCCCTTGGGAATAAAGAGGACTGCTTAAAATATTGTGTCTTCTAATTACATTGAAAAGAATTGTTGACTTCCTTGGAGCACCTCAGTACCCCTGACGGGGAGATAGGTGTGCACTGAAGGGTTTCTCCACCTCACACTTTTGGATTTTGAATAAAGGCAGAAGAATAGTCTGGGAATAATATATGTATATGACACAAAAATAATCAGTGACATATACAATCTGTCATATATCAGTCTGTACAAACAGAATCCTTTCATTGACATTTTTTGCCTTTATTATGTGTACTAACTGACTATTTTGATGACTTGTATAAGCAAACTGCCGGCAAAATTACCATTCATTCTTTATATTCTTCCAGATAAATCCAATCATTTGTGTAGGGTGTCCATAGGTACTGTGCAGTTTTTCTGCTTGAGCATATGGCAACATATTCCTCATACCAGGGTTGCGTAATTCTGTAGAAAAGGAAGGTAATTCTGTAGAAAAACTGGGTCCCTGTCTCACTTTTCCAATGGCACTCCCCCCCAAGCTTGCATTGAGTTATGTTGATAGAAATGCGTGGAGGGCAAGTACACAGTGGTTCCTGTATAGACTGTGAAGAGGCTAGGAGTGGCTGAAAGCTTTGCCTATTCCCCAACTTATAAAAAAAGGGCTTTGTCATGACCAGGCAGTTCTTAATAGCAACTGTTAGCTCATAGCACAGACAATTTCAGGTCATAAAGATATTTTTTTAAATGTATGTTTAAAATGTTTAGCAGACTCTTTTGAACGTGTTTTGCCTAAAGATTTTTCTGAGAGTAAAATTTTATTTGTTAAGCAACAATTTACTTACCTTTGGGCCTTGTACATGGTATTATCAGTGTATTTCTGAAGCATGGTGACCATTTCCTTATCTGAATGATATCCTAAATTATTTATCCAGATGAGCAGGGGAGCTAGAAGTTTAGATATGTATTTTTTATGAGCATGAGTATAGTCAGATCTTACATCTGTTTGTCCTACAAGGATAAAAGTCAGCCATCACTAGAAAAGGCCTCGGAAACCAGAAAATAGAAAGAGCTCAGATAATGTTGAGCACCTGCTATGTTCTGAGCTTTACAAATACAATATACTTTCTATTAGGTCATTTAATTAGTTGATAGCCTATAACTTACTCAAGGAAATATAACCTTATGAAAAATGAATAGAAAATGTTTTGAAGACGTATTATAAATGTCTTCATGAGTGTTCCTAGAAGGTCTCAAAATTTATTTTTTCCACAGTGGATCATAATATTTAATGCTAAATGAAAATTAGCAGCAATCCATAATGTATACTGCATGATCCCAATTTTTAAAATATACATCCATATAAATGTTAAAAAAAATACATACAAGGAAATACAGCTAATTATGGTTATCTCTGAGTGGTTGGGGGTATAATGATTTCTCATTTTTTCTATGAGCTTTCTACATTTCTATATCACATATGCTTTTGTGATCAGAGACAAATTATAAAAAAGTACATGAACAAAGAAAGTGAACTTTGTATTCCTGAGTTTGAAAATATGTTTCCTGGACATACAACTTAACGGCCAGAAGAATTTGTATTGGTTATGGCCAATACAATCTTTAGTTTTGGCTGCAGGATAATGCTAATATGCATTTATTGTTTCTAATAGTCTATTGAAATGTTTTTATGAATCTCCCTCAATGCTTTGTGGTGATAAATTCTTATACCTAATCTAGTCGATAAGATTGACTTTGGAAGTAATTTGCTAAATTATCTTGAGTTAGAACACCTTGTTATGAATTATGCAGAGAAGTAAGATTTTAAAAATTCTAATTAATTAAATAGTGAGTTAGAATTACATTTTAAACATTACTAAATGATAAAATTACTACTATCTTTTCCCTAGACTTAAATAAAAATTTGTGGTGTAATTCAAAATTTTAAAGGCTACTAAATATTAGAGTAAAATATGACTTTTGGGATCAATATTTAATAGTTTTCTCTATAGAGAAAAAAAGGATCATATCTGTATGTTAAAAAATATTAAGGTATATTAAAAGACTTTTATTGGGGCTATTTTGGGACTCAAAGGAAGACACATTAAGAAGCAGTTGATATATGGGAAAGCATAACATCTTTAAGAATTCTGATTTTGATAATGCTATGAGGTAGTGGTAGCTGAGTTCCAGTGTTTCTTTGGATAAAATAGGTACCATGCCGTCAGTAAAATAAATTGTGAAGTAATGAAGTAGAGTATTGAAAATTGACCTGTTTTGTATTTATGTAACTTGGGGAAATGGATTGGTAAATTCTGTGAATACTGAGAACCAATAAATCTTATAATCCCTATTTGGAAAAAATTTTAAAAAAGAAACATTATATAATATCTGTTCAAATATTTTATTTCTCCATAGTTCTGGAAGAATACTCAAATAAATCTATTCAGTTTTGCTTTGGAGTAAAAAATGACATTTTAACCTCTGACTAGTATACATATTTTTTCTGCTAATGACAAATTAATTGATAAAAATATATCATCATGTTTTATTGTGTGGCAGTTCTTTTGTATACCTATAAATTAGTTTTTTCCCTTTTAAAATACTAATAATGCCCCTTATTTGTTTATGCCCTTTCCTCCCTTAATTAATGTCCTTGAGTGTCTAAATCTATTTGTACTAATATAGTAGCCCCTGGCCACATGTCACTATTTAAATTTAAATTAATTAAAATTAACTAAATAAAATTCAAAAATCAGCTTTTCATTTGCACTAGCCACATTTTAAGTGCTTAATAGCCACATGAGGCTAGTGGCCACTGTAATGAACAGCATAGGATATAGACTTTTCCATTATTGCAGAAATATTAGATGGCACTGATCAAAGTATCAAGATGGTTTAAAAATTTGGGGGCATCTTGAAATACTGCCATTTGAGACAACATGGATGGAACTTGAGATAATCATGCTAAGTGAAATAAGCCAGACAGAAAAAGTTGAAAACTACATATCACTTATGTGGGATATAAACCTAAAAGCAACGAATGAACAGGACAAACAAACAGAGACTCAGGGACATAGAAATAGACTAGTGGTTACCAGGGAGTGGGGGGAAAGAGGGGAAGGTAGAGGCAGATGGAATAAAAGGGGTCAAATATGTGGTGACAGAAAGAAATCTAACTACGGGAGGTGAACATACAATGTAAATATATATATGTCTTACTGTTCAATTGTACACCTGAAACTTACTGGATTTTGTTAACTAATGTCACCATAATAAAAATTAAAATTAAAAAAATAATAATGGTGATATAAACAGAAAAAGTGAAAACAATCACAACGAAACTGGATGGGTACTGAAGTGGAGCAATATTCACAATAAATTAAGTTTAAAAAGCAAAAGAAAAAATTGGGCATTTTTTTCTGTATATTATTAGTGTATGCTTATGCTATTTTACTTACATTTTCTTTTATTATTTCATTTTTTTCTTCTGTTTTCCAGTTTAAAAGGATGCTTAATCGAGAGCTCACCCATCTTTCTGAAATGAGTCGGTCTGGAAATCAAGTGTCAGAGTATATATCAAACACATTCTTAGGTGAGAATAACTTACTAAGTGCAATTTTTAAATTTTTCTTTTGTTTGTTTTGTTTCTGTTTGTTTTTAGAGGTGGATTGGGGTGCCAGCTCATTTCGGAAACCAGATAAGTGTTAGGAATTTAACTTGTTTTCATTCATCATATTAATAAATGGATCCTCTAAGCTTTAGAAGCTAAGGTGATAAAGTACATTTTATTTTTTAGCTTCATTCAGGACTTTAGGGATTTTCTGAATATTGCCAGTTTTTCCAAAGTACTAACCTGTAAAATGCATTTCTTAGAGAGATCTATACATGCATTTAACAAATTCTTGTTAAATGCCACCCATTGCTGGGCACTAGATATTTAGTGATAATTTAGAAGTGGTCCCTGCCCTCATTGAGTCCATAGTCTAACAGACACCATGCCTGGTAAACTGGGGAGGCAGATAGATACGACTGCTGAAGATAAGTTTGCTGATGATAATAGCTGAGAGTGTGGTGTACTGGGACAACACTACTCCCACCCCAGTCCCCATCCACAGAAAGAAAATAAGTCAAAATCAGTAATTTGAACATATCCTTGATTTGACTTTCATAACAAAATTATTGAATATCTAATTAGCACATTCACTAAAAAGAAATTTATTGAACACACACTGTAAGCAAGGATGAGTTCAAGGAGCTAACTGTCTTGAAATAGGGGATGAATGTACTGAGATACCTTGTGTCTTTTATTTGACAAGTTAGCTTTTGTGAATCTCATATTCACTTATCAGATAATATTGGACATCCTCAGTGCTCATCATAAAACCTTGTTACATCATAACCCCCATCTCACTATAGTATAGAAAATGTAAAATAGCAAAATCAATCTAATTCATTTAGATAAGCTGTTTATACTCTAACAGTATGATCCATTTCAGTAAGCTGTTAGGTTCATACACTGTTGCTTTTATATTTGAATGTGAAGTTTCTACCATTTCAAACTAGTATTGAAACTGGAGTCCTTACTTGGCAAGAGCAATTTTGAAACTACTAAGTGAACTTCAAATAAGAATAAAGTTGATGAACAATTGAAACAACCAACATGTTTTGCTTTTCCAAAAAAAAAATCTGCTATCATGATAAGTCTTTCAAAAAATTATTAGAACATTCTATCAAAGATATAACCACTGAATACATTTAATGTCAATTATTTTGCAGTGGGATTTGTTTACTTAATTTTATGTTTAAGGGTATGAAATTAAGTCGACATCAAGTTGCAAATAATCAACTTCTCTAAAAGAAGCTTTATTTAGAAATATTTCCCAGACCATATAATGAACAATTAAAACCTGGCCGTTATACATTTTATGATTAAAAAACAAAAACAGAATTAATAGTAAATGCAGAACATTTTCTAAATTTTTAAGATAAGCAACATGAAGTGGAAATTCCTTCTCCAACTCAGAAGGAAAAGGAAAAAAAGAAAAGACCAATGTCTCAGATCAGTGGAGTCAAGAAGTTGATGCACAGCTCTAGTTTGACTAATTCAAGCATCCCGAGGTTTGGGGTTAAAACTGAACAAGAAGACGTCCTTGCCAAGGTAAGATAATTTCAAGGATCGTGATCATGAATATGCAACAATGCCGTTTAATGAATTTTGATTCCTTCTCTGTTAAATAGATTAACCAGTTCATTAATTTGTAGGGGTTTTTGTTTGTTCGTTTATTTGTTTTTAAGATGGGAAAGTACTATATACAGCTCTTTCTAAATTTATTTGGGTTTTATTAATTTGTGGATCTCTAGACAGGTGGTCTGGGATATGTGTTCTTCACTTTTTTGCATCTATATATTTGATTTTTTTTTTTTTTAAAGTATTAGAAATCTATCTTCTGGGTTTTAGGAGAATAGGAAGGGATTTTGTGAATAGATTTTATCTAAGAAAGGCTTTGAGATTAATACTGAAAGTATGTAAATATGTTGTATTATCAAAGGTATAAGGTGAGGCAGTTCTATTCGGTTTTCAGTACATTAAAATGAATTTGCCTAAAGTTTGCCTGTACTTTGATGGTGCATCCATTATGTGCACAACGAATCTTTTTTTTTTTTTTTTTTTAAATCTAACAGTCTTTTTATTAAAGTAATTTTAAAATGACCGTGTTCATTTTTTCACGTTGTATTTCCTTTTTCTAATTTTTGAAAAATCTTTCTTTAACTCCAGGAACTAGAAGAGGTGAACAAATGGGGTCTTCATGTTTTCAGAATAGCTGAGTTGTCTGGTAACCGGCCTTTGACTGTTATCATGCACACTATCTTTCAGGTAATGTGGTTAAGTTCTATCACCTTTCTTTATCTAGTGACTCAATGTCCAGTCAGTGAATTGTGCATGTATCTTATCTTTTTTACTGCTCACTCTCTTTTGTGTATTTTATACTTTTTCTCTTGTTTGTTTCTTTACGAATGGAAAAATAAGGATATAGAAAGATTGAAGTGTGGGCAAAATACAAATAAACCAATTTTGTTATTTTTTTCATTTAAGAAAAAAGTATGACAGGATAATTTAATTGATTCAGTAAAATAGTTTAAAAATCATCTACATGACCCCGACTCACACAGAGAATGGAATGCTAACTTTAAAAAATGAATAAGCCTCATTCCTGACAAATCTTAGGATGTAATTTCTTCACTGTTTTGTGTATTGCTCTGTTCTCCATGTATTGGTTTCTCACTCTTATTGAGCTTTTGTCCCAGCTCAGAGTTAGGATTTAAAAGAGGAGTTGAGGACTGGAACGGCAGATTCCAGCCCTAAAGAGTATGTTGAGTTTCAATCAGTGGTACTGGACTGAGGCTGCCTACATGATCATGGGACACAGAAAGTTTTTATAACCGGCAGTTCATTCTTGATACCATACATTTTGGGTAAAGCACCGTTGGGCTCCAGAAGGACAACTTAACTCTGGTTTTATCCCTGAAGTGTCTGAATCTTCCCAAAGGTTTTCATTTTCATTAGAAGACATCATAAGGGTGCTGGTTCCATTTCTGGGGGCAACTCTGGGGTGATTTCATTTTTTATTTGTTAGCACAGTCAATAGAAAATCTTTTTATGTAAGGATAAACTATTAAAAGGATTTATTTTCCAACAGGAACGAGATTTATTGAAAACATTTAAAATTCCAGTAGACACTTTAATTACATACCTTATGACCCTGGAAGACCATTATCATGCTGACGTGGCCTATCACAACAATATTCATGCTGCAGATGTTGTCCAATCGACACATGTGTTGTTATCTACACCTGCTTTGGAGGTAAATCTGTTTCTAAACTTTGAGAATACTAACTTTCCACTCATAAAGTTCTCAAACTTTTATATTAAAGGGTATGCAATGCAGAAAATAACTGGCTTCATTGGAAGTATGTCGAGTTACAAAGAAGAAAAATGTAGTGGTAAATAAACAGTAGGGTCTTTGATGATCTTGTCTGTGAAACTTGATCAACGATTTAGGGATTCATCTGTTTATGACACTGCTTCATTGAAATGATCTAATGGACATTCTCTGAAGCACATCTGGCTTATTCATTTTGCTTGGTTTTTTTTGGAATTTAGTCTGATGGCTTTTATATTTATAGTTCAAAAGATGATTACTTTATAAAATATAAGCAATGCATTGATATTTTTCATAGACTTTATTAGAAAGAAACACTAATTTTAACAAATCCTAAGTTGTTCCATTAAACGTTTATTAAAGCAATTTGATTTTCTTAATCATTTAGAGAAAGATTCCTTTTTGTTAATATATTTTATAGTTGAGATTGTTTTCATTATAAAATTGTATTAATACCTCAGCATTTGAGTGAGTGTTTTTCATCTGGAAGTTATTCCTTCCTTTTCTTTCCCCACACCCTAAGGACATTTGGCAATATGTGGAGACAGTTTTGGCTGTCACAACTGGGGCGAGGTACATGCTACTGACATTTCAAGAGTAAAGGCCAGGGATTCTGCTAAAAATCTTACAATGCACAGAACAGCCTTCCATAACAAAGATTATCTGGCCCAAAATATCAATTCTGATGAGATTGAAAAACCTTGTTTTGAATGAAAGAAAAGGAAATAATTGTTTATTATTTTTAAAAAAAATAACTTCAGATATTCCTTTTGTAACATTTAAAAAATATAACCAATAGAAAATATTTGAGTATTAGTTGTAATGAAATTAGGTAAAATCATTTTTTTCCAAGCTTACACTTAGAAAATTCATGAATAACTCATTACCTAAAAGACTCTCTTCCTGACTCAATATGATAGTATATTTTGAAGCCTCATTTTGTATTCCATCAAATTCTAGGAAGTAATTTTCCATTTGTTTATATTTTTAATTTGTGTTGTTATAGAATAGTGATGTTATCTATATTGTCTGATTTTTCAGGCTGTGTTTACAGATTTGGAAATTCTTGCAGCAATTTTTGCCAGTGCAATACATGATGTAGATCATCCTGGTGTGTCAAATCAGTTTCTGATCAATACAAGTAAGTGGAGTTAATTTATTTTTGCAGAAGATATTTTTTCTTTCTACATTTTAGAATGAGGGTCTTTATAACCTCAGGGGTTGTTTCCAAAGCCATAACATTCTTTTGAAATTTGTAAATGTTCATTTCCTGAGAGTGTGTGTTAATGTAACTTAGTTCTGAAAATTATCATTATATCCCATGAAGCATATGATGTTTGAAAAACATGCATTTGAGTACTTCTGTAGAAAAAAATATATATCCATCTTAGTAGGCAAGGGTAATCTAAATAAATTTGCCCAAAGATTTAGGTAGTTATATTGTTCCTACGTTTTAAATTTAAAAAAAAAAAGTTGTCAGAATTAATGTTAAACCTTCCTCACTTTATGTAGATTTTCATTTAATCCTCTTCAGAAGTTGTAACTATTGCCCTCTCTACCACCATAGCCAGCCTTATTCTTTCCTATTTAAAATTCCTAATGAGGGCAACAGGAACTTCTCTTTTAACTTTACTTTTTTAACTATTAATTTTTTTCTCACTAGTGAGCGACATTTCACCAAATAAGAAGTCATTGCTGAATTTGGAACTATAAAGAGTGATTATAGAGACTGTTTAATATGGGGCATCTCTGACACATTGCTGCACAGAACACCTCTATAGGGACTATTTAGATAGTGCTTGAGCTGTGCCTTTGCGAGGTTTTAGCTTTACAGAAATTCTATTTTTTTGGTACTTGATGTTAGTTGGTAAATGATTTAAATGTCCTATTAATTAATTACCTCCCACCATAGTAGATTAATGTTATAAATTTACTTTTATATACAAAAAATTAAAACGAAAAATTATTAAATTGTTAAATTCTTTTTCTTATCTGTTAAGAATATGTCTTTTTTTTTTTTGCCATGAGTGTAGATAATAGCCTTCTCATGCCGTATCGCAATCTAGCTCTAGTAAGTAGTCTCTCTGTATTCAATATTCATTTCCTTTACTTTGCTGAAGCCAGATTTAAAGGAGAATTTAAATATAGCCTTGCTTTGAGAAAATTAACTCAGATCTTTAGAATATTTAATCTACTTTTATACTTTTTAATAGTCTCTGAGCTACCCTATAACAAAATGCACTTCAGTGACTCATATATAAGAGGGTTTGAAAAGTCATGGATTTCCTAAAGTGTGTAGTTAGCCAAGTACATTTTAGAAGTTTGGTTTATGAACTTATTTATCCAAGATAGGATAACATTTCATGTTCTAACTACCTTATAAAAACCTATAATGGGGTGCTTTCAGGAATCATGAAAGCATTACTAAATATTAACACGTAAACAGTAATACACATTAGGCACAGCTACATGAGTTTGCATTGTGTCAGTGGTTAGGATTAACTGTGTCCTTTCTGAGAAGAGCAGGGAGGTCATATAGCACGATGTACACTAGCACCTTTTGTTAGCCTAGCCTGATTTATTATTTTGATGATTATACATGCCTCACTATGTTCCTCATTTTATACATTTTTAACAAATTCATAAAAATTTTGTTCTATTTTTTGCCTATAAGAAAGGTATGCATTTTTTCCTTTAAATTACTAAAACCAAAATGCAGACTGGTATGTTTTATTTGCTTCATATTATATATAATACTGTACATTCCCTTATTATTACGTTAGATTTAAAAATAGATTGGGGAAAAAAATAAAACTGTCTCAGAGGATTATATCGAAGTTCTCTGATAATTTTTTTAAGAAAAAAATGAGGACCATCTCTGTTATTCTTTCTTGTGGACCCTCGAAGGGCAAAGGGGCTTAGATTGGCACTGGGGGACTCTGGTGAACATCAGGGTACCCGTAGGGTCTAAAATTTAAGCTTAGTCCATACATAAATCTGATGTTTTCCGAAGTTGGAGACCCACTGAGAAAGATAAGGGAGCAATTCAGGGGATTATAAGAACAATGACAGTGACCAAGAGTGTCTGTTTAAGGTCATTTTGCCAATGACCTGCCCTAGGTGGAAGGATAACTAATTCTGTTTCTGGAATATTTTGTTATTCAGTGATGTTGCGATGATCTCCTTTCTGAGGGACCTCAGCAACGCTGAGGAGTTAAGTTCCCAGAGCAGCTTTGGATTGATAATGTTTTGTTGAAGATATGATGTGATGAGGCCGCGGTATTCCTGAGAGAATGAATCAGCATCATCACCTGGTACCGAAAAGTAACCCAGGGTTGATCAGAGCCCCAGGGCATTATGAGAATTACTGCCTTAGTTAGCTTTTGACTAAGGATCACTCCAGCAAGCATTTTATTTTAGGATATAGAAGAGGCTTAGTAGCCAGTAACACAAATAAATTTTAACTTCACAGCATGCTATAACGGAGTCCTTCTAAATAATAAATAGCTTTGTGAAATACTTTATCAAAATTTTAGTTTGCATTAAACTCTTGTTTTGTAGACATTAAGTTTATGTTTTCTGTTTCTTTCATGGATTGATTGAGCTTCCGTGGCTCAGACTACCATACTCGTAGCTCTTACCCTGAAGCTGGTACTGCCAACTTGTCAGAAACCAAAAATTGAATCTGTGCTTTTTGTAAGAAGAAATCCTAAAGACTCCAATCATCAAATTTATAAACCCATGTTTGGGAGGTCACCTGTCCTATTTTAAGGAAGCTGCAGAGGCATCATGAGGTTGCATGGCTTGCATTGGTACAGAGGTACTAGAGCTCACCTGGCTGACTCTGAGTCCAGATATACCTCTGCTTCTTAGGTTTGATGATAGATTCTGTTAATTGTGCCACTTGTGGTAGTTTTAGATGCCAAATGATTTGATACTAATGATACATATATTCATTGTAAACATGCTAGAGATTTTGAAAACAAATCATTTATATCTGGCAGAGTTGGTTAAACTTTTATAAGTGATTTAGAGATATGAGTAATCTGAATAAGATTTAAGGAAGTTAAAATTCCAGGTGGGAAGCTATAGAAGTCTTTTGGGGAGGACAATAAATGCATATAAATCCATAAAATATAAATAGCATCATAAAGTTTTGAATATAGCATGCTGGAGGGTATTTATCATAAAAAAAAGGCATTTAACTTTAAAGCATTATTTTCTGAAAAAAATAAAGCAGAGTCAAAAGTACAGAATCTATGTACCATTAAATTTTACTTGAAAAATTAGTAATTTTTGTTTATAGCAAAAATGCCTAAGTTTGGGGGAGAAAGATTTACTCACAAGAGTCTTGTTTAAAGCAAATGGTTTTCGATTCCAAGAGCAGAGGCATTTCATTGCATTAATGCAGAGCAAGATAGCTACCAGTACACATACTTTTTCCTTTTCTAGTCTCATATTAAAATAAGCTTTCCATAGCTGTATTTGTGGATTATATAGAATGTTATTTTTCTGTATAAATACTTTCAAAATAAAGATAAATTCATTTTTGTCAAATGTGATTATATAGGAATAAATGCAGGGATCATTATTTTATTCAACAAAAAATTATTGAGAGTGTATTCTATGTCAGACATTGTTCCAGGCACTGGGAATATGTGAGTACACAAGACAAAGCTCTGGCTCTGAAGAGCTTGACTTGTGCTGGAAAAGACAGACTATGACATGTGAATGTGTGACATCAAATGGCACTAAGTTTAATGGAGAAAAGTAATGCACATGTAGGTCACAGAGCAAATGAACTGAGGGAACGAGCCAGGCCGTTTTAATTCTTTGTCGTTGGCACCTAGATATTAAAAGTACCACTTCAATTCCCCACTTCAGAGAGAAATGTTTTGTTCAGAAGTGCCCAGGAGAAACCAGATAACCAAGCACATTAAATTAATAACTTTTATTTTTCTATAAGGTCTTAAGTGTCTTAGTGGCTTGGGAGGTCTTTGGGAGGGACCATTAAGACTCGTACAGATATAATGACAAATAAGTTGAAATGTGATAAATGCCAAATGTTAGTACAAAGTATATAGGAGTTTACAGGAGAAAGTGAGCAATTCTACCTGTGGTAATCAAGAAAGGCTTCATGGAAGAGGTGACTCATACTGTGTCTTGGAAGATGAGGGGGTTTCAACAAAAATGTTTTATAAACTAGCTTCTCTCCTCCTCCGTGCTACTTTGCCTTCTAGCAAAGTTTGAAGGAAACTTTCTGGTTATTCCAGAACCTTCAAGAAGTCCACATAGAAGTACAGGATTGTTATCTTTGGAGAAAATCTACTTAGGAACTGCAGAATCTTACCTCCCCTTTAGGTGGGACCATATACCTTTAATCATAAAGAAGAGTGGAAAATTAAATGTCTACCCTCAGAGTTACTTAAATGCTAACACTCATTCATTTAAAAATCAGCAACCACCACCTTTTTGTAACAGCCCCAGATATTAGAGAGGCAGTAGAGGCCCACTTGTCCAACAAGGAGCCATTTCATGGCCTCTCTGGATAGTCTGGTCGCCTCCTGAATGTCAGGAGCTAAGTGCTTTTCTAGTCAGGCTTAGCCACGGCTCCCGGACAGTCTTCCACATGGAAGGCCATCCTGAGGTTGAGTAAATTCAGATTCTTTGTCAACAGCGTTCATACCACATGTCTCTTCCTTCAGGCCACAGCTCCTCATCTTTTCTTCTGCAAGCTCAGTAGCCCCAATTTCTTTCATCTTTCTTCACATGGCATGTAAACTAATTCAGTGTTTGTAAGCCTGAGTCAGTTCTTCTGTTGATTTCCCTTATTACATGCATATTTGCTCCCTTAGAAGAACCCTAATTTGATTAATTAGGCATTATTTCTCCAATCAGAAAACATTATGCTTTCTTTTTGTTATATATAATTTAATATGATTCTGCTATAGAAACAATAATATTGTGTGCTAACATACTTTGTAGTTTAAAATGTTTTATTTCTATTTATTTAACCATCTGTAGATAAGTGTTCATAGTCAGAGGATATTATAGACTATTTAAAAGTCACCTTGACCAGATACTGACTTTCTAAAAAATGAACACTATTGCTTTATCAAAAAATAAATTTAAAAAGACAATAATACCACATATACCCACTGCCTGGGTACTATAGACATCTCTGTTTCCGTAGTTTGGGAGCAAAAATTTAGATGTGTAAATTCCTATTTCTATATAGTACTGATAAAAATCATAGGATTTCACAGTGGAAATATGTCTTGAACTTTTCTTCTTCTCCCTAGCTCCTTTAAAATAATCATTGAGTTACATTGGATATTTCTGTCTTAGAAAAGAATATATATTTTCAAATATATTTTCTGTGCATTAGTCAGTAAAAAGATCAAACACATGCACTTTTAGTCTTTACAGTGACTTAAGTGGAAACAGATTAAAGCACCAGTCGATTTTTTTTTTTCTTAATGACTATCGTATAGATCAGGGTCTGCTATTTACAAGAACTAGTAACGAGGCAGGATCTCTCACTGCTAAAATACACAGGTCCCGGGCATTTGTAAGAGAGCAGCAGAATCTTCAGTGTGGAGTTATGCAGGCAGCCTGACATTCACCTCTGTGTGAAGCCTTGACGTGGGAAGGGCAATATGTGTGTATAAAATGACCGCACGATACTTAGAAGAGGAAATGGAAAAATGAATAAAGCTTCAACTTTCAAAGCTATACTGTGGACAGAAATAAGAGTGGCATGAGCAAATCTAATATTGTTTGTGTGTTCCCAACTGTCCTTGTACCCTCTCTGAGTACAAACAATTCTAAGTCACATGATCCTTACAATTATATAAAATGCTGGGTAGGTGGTGCACGGTTTTCAGGAATACAATATCTTATGCTCTGGACATGTCGTAAATGTTAAGAATAATGTCTTTTTTTGCTGAGCTTAAGGAGCTACCCAGATCTAGTGGGGAGATTAAAGATCATCTGGTCCAATTCTTCTTTCACATTGAAAAAGAGAAAGCTGAGGCCCATAGGGCAAACTGCCTAGCCACATGTCAGTAGCATTGGAATTTACTCCCAAGATCCCCATTCCCTCTCCAGTGTTGTGTTAACAAGTACATTCTCTCCTAGATGTTGTCATGTAATGGTAAGGACTGCAGAGATGTTTAGAGGAAATTGCATCCTAAACCTAAAGTATCTCAGAGTATGAAGAGTAAGATAAACATGGAATAAATGGCTTTGCCAATCTTCTTGTCTCTTATCTTTCCAGACTCTGAACTTGCCTTGATGTACAACGATTCTTCTGTCTTGGAGAACCATCATTTGGCCGTGGGCTTTAAGTTGCTTCAGGAAGAAAACTGTGACATTTTTCAGAATTTGACCAAAAAGCAAAGACAGTCATTAAGGAAAATGGTCATTGACATCGTAAGTAGCTGATGAAAGCAAAAAAAAGAGAACTATGATACAAACTGTTTTTTTTTTTTTTAATGAGAATAAAAATCAGGTAAAAGGAACTGTGTATTTTAAAAACCTAATACTGCCTTTTATGTTTGAGAAGCTGCCCCTGCTGCTGTCAGTGATGTTCTGTAATAGGTTTTCTCCTTCTAGCAGTTTGAAGTTGAAAATAATGACAGCTTACCCTCATCATTCTAGTTTTATTTTCTGAACTCCTCTGATATGGTGAGGGCAGAGGAAGATGACTAACAAGAGCAAACGGTGCTGGCCGTAGCTCGAATGGACTTTTCCCATTCAAAAAGTGGGAGGAAAAAATCCCCATCAATAGACAGTGACATTTAGAAACATTTATGACTTTAATATGTTCTCTATGCATATTATTCACAGTGTTATGAGACACAGGAAGATCTCTCACTATCAAATAGTTATTCTGTTAAGCTTTGAATATACAAAAATAAGAATTATCTGTTTTGGATAAGCAGAAATTACCCAGAATATTCTGCTTCTGAAGGATTCTGTGAGCAACCTTGAATCATTTTATCATAGTCTAGTAACCACTTTCTAGTCCAAGGAATGGAAAAAATATGTGATGATATCTTATCCGTGGAGATGCCATCCCTTCTTTTCACCATGGAAGTGGTTCCCAGTGCCTAACATTTCTGCATAATGCACATGTATATCTATCTGAGCTTTCAGAAAACTTGAGAAACAGACTGCCCCAAGAAGTAGTAAAGAATTTCCATGGACTGCTATTAGATGACATAGTGGTTTTCCATTTTTTTTCTCACATTCTGCCTAATATTTTAATTTGCAAATTCCAACTTTTTTCCTCTGGACTTTCTTAATAAAATACTCTGTCTTTAAGGTACTTGCAACAGACATGTCAAAACACATGAATCTACTGGCTGATTTGAAAACTATGGTTGAAACTAAGAAAGTGACAAGTTCTGGAGTTCTTCTTCTTGATAATTATTCTGATAGGATTCAGGTAAAGCATTATTTGAATTTTCACATGTGTCTGTGTGTGTGGCTTTCGTAAGATGTCTCCTCTCTCCTACCTTATTATTTTAGTAATTATAAGCAGGATTTTGATCCAGATTCTTAATCTTGAGAATTAACCAGACAAAATCCTATTAGTCTTTTCATTTGCATATGTGTTAAAACAAACAAACAAAAAAACCCTAACATCCAACAAAACCAGCTTCTTAAGCAGCTCTGAATTTAACTGTGCACATAAACAATTTTTCTTGATATTTAGATGCAGTAGAGGTGTCATAATTTGGGACTATTTATACAAGTGTGAACCACCCATAGACACATCATGGTTGAGCTGTTTGGAATGAATCTTACACTACATGTATTTTTAAGTATCACAGTCATTCGATGCGAATTTCTAGTAAAAAAAAAAAAAAAAAAAGCAGGTGCTAAATAGAGAAAGCATTTGTCTGTTTTAGGTCCTCCAGAATATGGTGCATTGTGCAGACCTGAGCAACCCAACAAAGCCTCTCCAGCTGTACCGCCAGTGGACAGACCGCATAATGGAGGAGTTCTTCCGCCAAGGAGACCGCGAGAGGGAACGGGGCATGGAGATAAGCCCCATGTGTGACAAGCACAATGCATCTGTGGAAAAATCACAGGTGATGTACTAAGCATAAAGCTTTCAGAGAGAACAAAACTACAACTTAAACATTTGATCACTTCTTATCCACATCACACAGTATTTTTGTGTTTTTTTTAAACTAGTACTTTATTTTTTCGATTTCAATTTCACATTAGTGTTTATAAGCCAAAAACTCATGATTCATATTTGTATAGTTATTTATGTGTTCTTATAGCGCATAAATTCATTCATTATGACTATATTCACATAGTATATTCGTTCATTCATTATGACTATATTCACATAGTATATTCATTGGCATAGAAATATTTATCTGACTTCATACTTGAATTCAGTTATATGAATTTATATGGAGTATGCCATTATTTCAGTTATCAGGATTCACCTATAAATTGGCTATTCTAAAATAAAAATCCAAGCCTCAAGCCAAGCCCTACCATGTAAACAACTATAGAGTTTTTATGTTGCAAACATACTATTCAGCTAAGAGTCCTGGAGGCTAATTTTCACAAGCTAAGTAACAATACTTTTATATGGTCCGTTGCCTAAAATAGTGACTATTTTATAAAACTAAGGTTAGTTGTCTTCTGTTCAATGTTATATTTGTAGACCATGTCATATTTTTATGTTTTATGTAAAAATGTATATACATTGATATAAATTAGATAATGCGGAATCTAGTTAACCTTTATTATGATTTCGTTGTTTCAACTCCTGTACTCAAATTGGATTTTTTTTTTAACTAGGTGGGCTTCATAGACTATATTGTTCATCCTCTCTGGGAGACATGGGCAGACCTTGTACATCCCGATGCCCAGGACATTTTGGACACTTTGGAGGACAATCGTGAATGGTACCAGAGCACAATTCCTCAGAGCCCCTCCCCAGCACCTGATGACCAGGAGGAGGGCCGACAGGGTCAAACCGAGAAGTTCCAGTTTGAATTAACTTTAGAAGAAGATGGTGAGTCAGACACCGAAAAGGACAGTGGAAGTCAGGTGGAAGAAGACACTAGTTGCAGCGACTCAAAGACTCTTTGTACTCAAGACTCAGAGTCTACTGAGATTCCACTTGATGACCAGGTCGAAGAAGAGGCAGTAGGGGAAGAGGAAAGCCAGCCCGAAGCCTGTGTAATAGATGATTGTTCTCCTGACACGTAACAGTGCAAAAGACTTTCACGCCTTTTATTTTTTAAGTAGAAAAATTGTTTCCAAAGTGCATGTCACATGCCACAACCATGGTCACACCTCACTGTCATCTGCCAGGACGTTTGTTGAACAAAACTGACCTTGACTACTCAGTCTGGCGCTCAGGAATATTGTAACCAGTTTTTTCACCTCCATGTCATCAGAACAAGGGGGACATCTTCACGAACAGCATTTTAACAAGATTTCAGCTTGGTGGAGCTGACAAAGCAGAGAAAATCAACTCCAAAGTGTTTCAAGAAAGTGTGGCTCATCAAGGCAGCCCAAAAGTTGGTATGATTTGGGGTTTCTTTCGTTTTAGCTGTTTGCAATATTTTCAGCAGAAAGAAGGCATTACACAGAGTGAACTAATGGATGAAACAACAAATGGGTCAAGAACAAGAAACGGCATGAATCTGTTACCAGGAGGAAGATGAGCCACAGAAATTGCATAATTTTCTAATTTCAAGTCTTCCTGATACATGACTGAATAGTGTGGTTCAGTGAGCTACACTGGCCTCTACATTTTGTATGATATGTAAAACAGATTTTTTGTAGAGCTTACTTTTATTATTAAATGTATCGAGGTATTATATTTAAAAAACTATGTTCAGAACTTCATCTGCCACTGGTTTTTTTCTAAGGAGTAACTTGCAAGTTTTCAGTACAAATCTGTGCTACACTGGATAAATCTAATTTACGAATTTTACTTGCACCTTATAGTTCACAGCAATTAACTGATTTGTAGTGATTCATTGTTTTATATACCAATGACTTCCATATTTTAAAACAAAAACTAATTTTATGTTGCAGGAAACTCTTTTTGTAGGTCTTCTTTTACTTTGCGTTTTGTTTCACTCTTTTCAGAAAAGCAGAGTTGCTCTCCACTGACATTTTTCTTCATGGTGTGCAAAGTGAATATTTGTTCAGTAATACTTTGATGTGCATTCTGTCTAATGTGTCTTAAGCCTCATGGACACTCAACAATCAGCTGGTGTCGTCTGAAGCAAGTGAGAGATATATAAATACCCAGTAGCTAAAATGGTCAGTCTTTTTTAGATATTTTCCTACTTAGTGTCTTCTGATAACTTTTTGCTATGTCAATAGACCCTCATTTCACAAGTGCATGTCTTTGTAATAACCCACACGTGTCATGCTCATTTTTATTATTTCCATGGTCAGTTATAGTAAGAAAAACTTTTTCCCTTGTGCTGCTTTATTATTTAGCGTGTGTTTGAACCTCTGTCCACATTCACTAGATAAGGTCTTGTCAAACATATCATCACCATTTTGATTGATGAAAAGAAACAGGTAGTCAGGTTAGAGTTAGCATTTATTTCTACAGCAAAGTCATATATAATGACTAGCTTTTACTCTTGATTTACAGAAAAAAATTAACAGCTAGGTAGGCATTTTTAACAATATTAGAATATATTAACCAACACCAGTACAACTGATGCTCATTGGTTTCTATGATTTCACCATGGATTAAGAACTATATGAAGAATATTCTTGAGAAGTGATTTCAAGTGTAGCAACTACCCTTCCTTAAGGCGAAACATATAGGAATTGCTTTATCAGTTATCATTGGTTCATAAGCATTTCTTATAGAAGAGAACTTTAAATAAATACACTGAGGGGAAGAAGTTGATGATGCCACTGGCACGAGAGGTTTGGTAATACAGTGCCATGCTAAAATGGTGGAGAAAAAAATAGAGATCACTCTTGGCTGGATTTAGCACCGAGAACTATATTAAAATTTTAGAGATTAATTCCTGGTATTTACCTTCAATTGGCATGTTGGGGGCATTTGTTTAGTTTGGACTTTCTTCCCATTTCAGCTCTTAATAAAGTGTTTACCTCCTCTATGAAGAGTTTGGAGCCCAAATAATCATTTTTCATATTGATATCCAAGAATTGACACAAAGACTAAAAGGGGTATCTGACTAAATGGAAAATAAATAAAACAGTTAAGAAAAAGTGTAGCCCTGAAAAAGAGTTATATTTAGGATGTCACAGGGAGTTCTCTGGGGACTAGTAACTAAGTCACCAGCCAGAGAAATGACCCAAGCTGAAGATAATTTCTATTTTAATGCCCTGATATCCACTGATGCTTAGAACCTTTGATAGGAAAGTGATGTAGCTCTGATCTTTTGCACAGAGCAGAATAGGAATTAACTAATTAATTACCAGATTTCCATCTTCCTCACCTGTAAAAGTCAGAGAAAGATAACTGTCTTTCAAATATAGTTCTATGTATGGGCAAGCGGTTTCACAAGAACACTTGGAATCTCGTTTCTGTTTTAATTTTATTTATCCCTAATGGAGGTCTAGAAGAAAAGGCAATCAAGGTTTATTCCTTTCCAAAATATTCTCATTCCCACTTTTCCCTAATACTTGGTATTTCCCTCACAGAGTGCCTAGAATCTTAATAATGACGAAAAAATTTTTTAAGCAGCAATACGTCACAAATCCAGACCTGAAAGGGTTTATAACTGCACTAAAAAAGAGAGGCTGTTTTTTTTTCAATCTGTTGGTTTCGAATGGTTCACATATCGTAAAGCTACCCACCGATGGACAATCAAATTGTAGAAAATGCATAATATGCAAGAGACAGGGACTAATGCACTGTACAATCTGTTTCTCCTCTCCCTTCTTTCACCTCTCTCTCTCCTTCTCTCTTGCCCAAGTGTGCTTCAGAATTATACACTGCTTTAAAACATCCTTTTACAAGTGACTTTACGTTTCCTAAAATGCCATAAGAAAATGCAATATCTGGGTACTGTATGGGGAAAAAAAGTCCAAGTTTGCATAAAACTAATACATTTCAGCTTGCAAGTTACTAAACATAATAATGCTGTTTTAATTTTATTATCTTTTATGTCGCTTAAAATTCACAAAAAAATAATGTAGATAGAACAAATTGCAGATAAGGAAGAAAACTTGAATGAAATGGATTTCACAGAAAGCTTTATGATAATTTTTGAATGCATTATTTATTTTTTGTGCCATGCATTTTTTTCTCACCAAATGACCTTACCTGTAATACAGTCTTGTTTGTCTGTTTACAACCATGTATTTATTGTAATGTACATACTGTAATGTTAATTGTAAATTATCAGTTCTTATTAAAACATCACCCCACGATGGGATGGTGTTGATATATTTGGAAACTCTTGGTGAGAGAATGAATGGTGTGTATACATACTCCTTGTACATTTTCTTTTCTCCTGTAATATAGTCTTGTCACCTTAGAGCTTGTTTATGGAAGATTCAAGAAAACTATAAAATACATAAAGATATATAAATTTAAAAAACATAGCTGCAGGTCTTTGGTCCCAGGGCTGTGCCTTAACTTTAACCAATATTTTCTTCTGTTTTGCTGCATTTGAAAGTAAGGTAGTGGTGGGTCTAGGGCTGGGCATTTTACATCTGAGCTTCAAATTGATTGGTTTTCTGGCAATAGCTAGATTTTAAAAAACCACAGACAACCTCTGGAAGATTCTGAGACCTTTTTGAAATACAAGCTCTTAAGTACTTCTTGCCATATAGCAGCACTGCATATATGATGATCGTTTTCCCCATCTGTTGATCAAGAGCTACTTGAGTTAGTTATGTTTATTTTCTACTTCCAACACCACTGGGAAAATGTAGTCTTGTCCAGTGATTATAAAGAGTCTTTTTGGCTTCTAGAGCATATAAGCAAATAACCTTGATTTGAAACTAGCTCCATAGATCACATGTGTTGGTTAGTCTTTTATTCATCAACTTCCTGTCATGTTAAGAGAATATATAAGGTGAAAAAGCTCATTTTTTTAATCCTGGACTTTTTCTTCAACTAAGATCAATCAAAACTTTTTTTGTATGTTAAGTCCATATGTAGACACAAAGTTTTATATGATGTCAATTCACATAGCATAAAGGAGTCACCATTCTCTAGAACTTGCTACTGCAAAACTTATATGGCTACAGAATTTTAAAACTTATATTGCAATAGAATTTTAAAATTTCTCAATGGCCAGCTCCCGAAAGCTATGAGAAATTCCCAGTGAATGTTGTGGAAACCTTCTTTCACTGTTGCCCGGCCCTCAGAAAACATGATTAAGTGGAAGGAGAGATTCTTTTTCTAGGAAAAATGAGCCTCCTATTATTTTGTTTTATTTTTTCGACACAAACTGTAGATTTTAGCAGCCCTGGCCCAAAGGAATTTGATTACTTTTGTTTTAAACAGTACAAAGGGGACACTATAATTATAAAAACATCCTTATTGATTTTAGTTTTTAATTTTATTTCTTTAGATAATGTTTTCAGAGTGGTAAATTGTGTGTGAGCATTACAAATGATGATTCTTTTAGTGGTTTCTTAGCCTCTCTTACAGCCCATGGGGATAGTACTGTACATCAATACCTTCATATGAAATTTTTATATGCAATGAAAATAAAAGCATGGGTTGATTCTGCTTATTTATGACTCAATCTTTTACAAATAAAAAACTACTCATTTTAAACTGTAGTTCAGTCAGCACAGGTTTCCAAGAGTGATGAAGATTGTTAAAGTGAAATGATAGTGACGTCATTAGCTAGTAATGATATCTATAATCAAATGAAACAAATTTATCTTTCATTACAAAATTAATCTTGCTATAGAAAAAATTGTCAAAATTATTTAAATGGGCTACAAGATTAATCACAGTATTTTGTAAACAGGCTTAAGAAGGGGACTTCTGTTTAATTGAATATTCTGGTATACTGAAACTTACTCAGACATCCAACATTTATTTGTTGGGTACCTGCTCTGCAAAGTACAGGGTTCTAAAGATTCAGCAGTGAAGAAGACACAGCTTCTGCTTTCGTGAGCTTACAGTCTGGAGGGAACAAAGGCATTAAACAAGTTCATACACGTGCCATCAGTGCACTCTGTACAACGGAGAACCTGTGACTAAGCGGAAGCCTGAACTTGCTGTCTTCCAGAGGGCCAGAGAAGGCTTCCTTCGAAGTGATTTGGGGCTGAGCTCTGAAGAATAGTGAGAGGTAACCAAGCAAAAGGGAGAATTGAAAGGAAGAAGAAGGGGATCCAAATGGGAAACTTCATTTGCAGAAGTCCTGAGGTACAAATGAGCTTGAGACTTCTGGAGAAATGGAAAGAAAGCTCCCCTGCTCCATCACTGATTATTTCTTATCCTGCTTTATTTTCTTTATAATGCTTATCACAAATTGACATATACATATCTTATCTATCACCCCCACCAGAACATGGCTCCATGAGAGCAAAGTGCTCACTGCTGTATTTCTCATACTTAAAACTATGCCTAGTACTCAGTGCTTAATATTTGTTGAATATATAGCCACCAAATTGATATTGGATATAATTTAATCTGATAAAACATTTTAGGGTCTCAAAGAGGTTTTTAAGTCAATGTCATAAAAATATTCTGGTGTTTTTTTTGTTTTGTTTTCGATCTTGCTAAGATCCAAGATAAAGACGAGTTTAAGAGTCTTTGATCATATTGCTAACTAAAAACTGCCTAGTCCTCACAAATTCTTTTTTCTATTTTTTTTTCCTGAATAACAAAAGTTCAGTTGTCATGGTAAGGAGAGTAAATAAATCAGCAAACATTTAATGCAGGTAATCCCCAAACCTTAATTACTAGAATAAGGATGTAGTAGTAGCCCCCTTATTTGTGATTTTGCTTTCTGCAGTTTATCTGTGGTCAACTGCGGTCTGAAAATATTAAATGGAAAATTCCAGAAATAAACAATTCATCAGTTTTAAATTGCATGCCATTCTGAGTAGTGTGATGAAGTCTCGCGAGTCTCAGTCCTGCCCAGGACGTGAATCCCGTCTCTACGTTGTAAACGCTTCCCACCTGGTAGCTGTCTAGGTTATCAGATGATTGCCTGTTGAGTTGTCACAATGCTTGTGTTCAAGTAACCTTTATTTTACTTAATAATGGTCACAAAACCATAAAGTGAGTAAAAAGGTGAAAGTTCTTGGCTTAATAAGGAAAGAAAACAATTGTATGCTGAGGTTGCTAAGATCTGCGGTAAGAACAAATCTATCTGTGAAATTGTGATGAGGGAAAAAGAAATTTGTACTTGTTTTACTGTCACACTTCAAACTGCACAAGTTATGACCATAGTGGATGATAACTGCTTAGTTAAGGTAGAAAAGATGCTAAATTTATGGGTGGAAGACACAAACAGAGAAGGTGTTTCCAGTGAAGGCAATGTGTTGTGCCAAGAAGCATCGCTGTTTAGATCGACAACCAGTGAGTCAAGATTTGGAAAGGAAGGAACCGCCTGAAATTTTACCTTCCTCTCTCAACCAGGCACTACAGACCCAGGAGAGCTGACTCCGGTAAGAATTCTGACTCTTCTTTGGCTTTTGCCAGTTTTCCTACAATCGCATCTGCAGGGTCCAGAGTGGGATGTAAAGTAGGGAGTGTAGCCCGGGTTTGACCAGAATGTGGCAAGGCTTTCCATTAATTTTAATTTTAGTTTCTTCTTGGCTGTTTAAGGGAATAACTGATAATAGTTTAATGGAGAATCCTTGGGAGTCCCATCAACCCTGGGAGGCCCTCCTTTGAAGGTAGATAAGGCAGCCTTTGAGTTGATGTGGAAGGGTTTGACAAAACCCTTGAAGGCAATCTTTTTTTCCAGTGTCCCAGTTGGGAGCAAATGACATGCAGATTTCTGGGCCAGTGTTTTGATGATAGATGCCTAGGAGGGTAGATTGCGGGAAGCCCAGGTGTTTTAGATTTCTGGCTTTAAAGCTCTTGCAGCTGCCAGATAACTAACTTAGTGATCTTGATTTACAGTCTTGTGGTCTTTTCAGAGTGGAAAAGCAATTGAGATAGAGGATTAGTGTGTACTCAGGTAAAGGAAGATAGAAGTAGTAGGAGACAAGTCAGTCTTACTGTCTTCTGTTTTAGGTACTACTTGTGTCATTAAAATTTTTAGTAGCCTTTTGCAATGAATCTTCCAGTAAAGCTATTTTGGAATTTTGAAGGCTTTTGGAGGCTTATGTATTCCAATTAAAATAGATATTCCATTTTTTGTTAAATGAGAACCTTTGCTTTCAAGTGCATGTTTAATCGGAATGTTCCCCATGATAACTCTAGGCCATTGTAATTCTAGGTTGTCTTAGTAAGATTTAGTAAGAACCTCAGTTCTTAGACCTAAAATAAGCAGGTATGCTTTGATGCGGTACGCTCAATTCTCTGAAACTTTAGCTACATCTTGGATCTCATGAAGCCAAACTAATACCTTAGGCAGATGTGCCACTGGGTTGGGGATTTTGTGGTGTTTTACAGTGTACCTTATTGCCAAAAACAGATTAAAAAAAAAAAAAAAACAGAAGACAATGAAGATGATACAAACTTTATGTAATGCTTCATGAAGTGGACAGTCTCTTTTTGATTTGTCAAAGGGACAGAAAACAATAGCTTCCGTAGGATAAAGAATAAGGAACAAAGATGAAACAAATAGAAAACACCTGGGTATCTATAATCACACAGTCAACCTGGTTTGGGAGTGAGAAGGCCCAGACTTGGCTGGCTTGGTATTTGGTGGTTGACTGACTAAATATACTGCATTTCTGGTCAAGCAGAACATTTACAGAGACCTAAGAGTTATCTGAGTTTCAGTTTGCTGACCTGGCACCTAGAGCAGGAGTAGCTCCATACTGGGCCCAGAAATTTATTTCTACAGTGTTTTGTACATACTCCTATAGTGGCTTTTTTTTCCTTCTAATATGTTGTCATTCTCTTTTTTACTTTCTGTCTCTCTCACTAGATTGTAAGTTAGTTTTTTTTTATTTTTTAAGGCAATGTAGTCCTTTTGGCCTGTTTACTAAAGATTTAAATCAGAATATTAATATTTAACTATTCTTTCCCCTCTAACACCAGCAGTTCTCAAAATATGGCCCTGGAACTGATATCAGAATCAACTAGTATCATGTTAGAAATGCAAATTATTAAGCCCCAACACAGGTCTCGGGAATAAGAATCTCTAGGGGTGGGCCTTAGAATCTCTTTTTAACAAGTCCTCTTGTTACTTTTATGTGCCATAAAGTTTGAGAAAACACCATTCAAAAGGTCATGGAGTTCTTTTTTCCTCGTTTGGTTTTGCAAAACAAAAGTAATAATCTCAACCCTCTTTCTAATTCATTGCATTTAATCAAAGGGATATATGTTACTGTAGGAGTTGTAACAGGTGACTTGATGAGGGCTTATAGCAACTGGAGGAACAGAATCACACATTTGGACAATTTTCATCAAGCAGGAAAGGAATGATGAAGCCAGCTACTGGCTTCCTTAAGCAGCAGAGGAAACCTAGGATTGACTGTTACCATCATGGCAATCATTAGCATCATATGGGTTTGGGACCCAATATCAACATTGTGGTGGGGCTGGGGGAGGGTTTGCCACACCAACAAGCAATTCTCCAACACCAGCTGGGTGTCCTAAAATTCAATTTAATTCTATTAGTATCAGAATTTATCTGGAGATAACATCAGATTCCATAGATTAAGGTCTCAGTCCTACAAGACTGCTCCCCACCCATACACACTCTTCAAATAACAATGGCAAGCCCATGTTGTCACCTGGGCTACTGACACCCCCTCCTTGGGTTTGATTAATTTGCTAGAGTAGCTCACAGAACTGAAAGATTTTACTTACTAGATTACTGGTTTATTTTAAAACAGCATAACTCAGGAACAGCTAGATAAAAGAGAAGCATAGGGCAAGGTGTGGGGAAAAGGCAGAAGCTTCCATGCCCTCTCTAGCTACAACATTCTCCCCCATTCTCTGCAAGTTCACCAAACAGAAATCTCTTCAAATCTCATTTTTTGGGGTTTTTAACGGAGGCTACTTTTCAGAGGAGTTATTGATTAAATCATTGACTTTGGGTAATTGATTCAACTACCAGCCCCTCTCCCATTTATCTCCAGAGGTCAAGGGGGTGAGGACTAAAAGTTTCAACCCTCTAATCACATGGTTGGTTTCCCTGGCAACCAGCCCTCATCCATAGGTGCTTTCCAGTCACCTATTACCATAATCAGACACCTTTATAGCTGTTGTCACCTAGGATATTCCAAGGGTTTTAGGAGCTCTGTATCAGAAACTAGGAAGAAGACCAAATATATATTTCTTATTATAAATCACAATATCACACATCACACGTTGGCATGGGCTAAAGGGTGTAAAGATTAAAATGTCATTCAAAGGACAGAAGAACAACAGAGAATCCCATCTATATTCACCCCAAAAGACCATTAGTGTAATTTGCAGAGACAGTGGGCCTTCACAGTCTTCATGTGCCATTGGGGTGCTCTCAGTCACAGAGTCAAGTGCCCCTCTGCTTTTGTAATTGAGTGAAACCACGACACACAGGGCTTGGTATCTGACATCACAAGGAGTCACCAAAGGGACCAAATGACACAACCCAGCACTTCAGGGGGT